TTTGGCGGGTCCGGGCTGGGGATTCGAACCCGCCACCTTAGGTGTACGTGGCTGGCGCCTTAGCCCGTTGAGCTATAGGCGCCGAGCCTACAATTGTTTATTATAGCTATTATACATTATATAACACATGATTATGTATTAAAATTGTTTTTCTTCGAGTTTTATTATAATGTAAAATTATTTCATGTCATTGGACATTATATCATAAGACATTGATAGTATTTCTTATTTTTGTCAGTCATCGTTATGTGTTATAAGACCTCCCCATGTTGCGCTGTGGATACCTATCTGTGGCTGTGGTGGCTTTGCGGTACTCCTTGGTGTCTGGCCCCCTCTATTTATCCACCACCTCCATTAGATGGACATCCAGGCTGCTTCTAGGATACCCTAAATAATGTTGCAGTGAACATTCTTGTATATGTCCCCTGTGGAACTGAGGGAGACTGCTTGGCATGTGCTAATTTCTAGGTGATATCTTCATGAAGACAATTTGTCTCAGTAGTGGGGGACAGCCCTCAGGCAAGCTGCCCATTATAAGTGCATGACAGTTCCTGGGTCCCCATATTCCCAAACCCCACTTGGCATTTTCCAACTTCTAATTTTTGCCAGGCCTATATAAGATGACTTGCTGTCATTTTAATTTGCATTTCCTCCATCGGTTCCATTAACTTCCAGCACCTTCTCAGATGCCTGCCAAAATGTTGGGTCTCCTTGTTATCTGCTCTGCATACTATTCACCCACTTTTCTTTCTCTCAGGGTTGCTGGGGATTTTTTGTTTTTTTTGAGATAGGGTCTCACTCTGTTACCCAGGCTAGAGTGCCGTGGTGTCAGCCTAGCTCACAGCAACCTCATACTCCGGGGCTCAAGTGATCTTCCTGCCTAAGCCTCCCCAGTAGCTGGGACTACAAGCACCCACCACAACTCTTGTATTTTTAGTAAAGATGGGGTCTCACTCTTGCTCAAGCTGATCTCAAACTCCTGAGCTCAAGGGATCCTCATGCCTCCGTCTCCCATGATGCTAGGATTAAAGATGTGAACCACCACAACCAGCTGGGTTTTATTTTCCTTCCTGATTTGTGGGTGTTCCTTTTACATTCCAGATATTAATTTCTCATTTATTTTAAACATTGAAAATACATTTTCCCTTCTGCCATCTGATATTTGTCACGTGGTATCCTCCTTTAAAAAAAAAATCTGTATTTGCTCATTATCAAATGCATTATTTTTCTGCCTTCCAAGTTTCTGTGGTTTGACTCACAAAACCTCTCCCTGTGCGGTCATTCACGTTGTTATTGTTGGTATTAACCATCTGAGGGCCATTATGGCCACATGTGCACAGTACAGACAAGTGCCAGGGCCTTGACCAGGTTCCCAGAGCCTGAACACAATCTGGTGCTGCAAGCTCCAGGCTCAGCCAGGAGGATTAAACCACATCTTTGAGATGCAGGTGCTGCCTCAGAGAGACAGCACATCAATGTAGCAGGCCACTTGAGATTGGGGGAGAGAAGTGGAAACAGGCAAGAAGAGAGTGGTCTGAAACTATATGTCACAAGACGGAAAAACCAAAAAGAATGGGCTCTATGCCTGTCTAAATGCTTCAGAGTGGAAAAAATATATATCCATGATGACTTCTTTTAGTGAAAAAAGAAAGGTGCAAAAATATACTTCTGAGAGAACCATTTCATTGAATTGACTAACATATGAGCATTGGCAGAATCAGTCTAACTACTGTGACCCACTTATTCCACTCCTGGAGTACTATCCTACAAAATTGAACACTTTATATCTACTGAGAGTCAGGTGCTCAAATATTCACGACAGCCACAAATTGGAAACAACTCAAATGTCCATCACAGAAAATCAATCAATAAATCATGGAATTGCCTGCCAAGGAAAGAATACAGAGCGGCCAAGAGCAGTGGCTCACGCCTGTAATCCTAGCACTCTGGGAGATGGAGTCAGGTGGATTGCCTGAGCTCAGGAGTTCAAGACCAACCTGAGCAAGAGTGAGATCCTGTCCCTACTAAAAATAGAAAAACTAACCGAGTATTGTGGTGGGCACCTGTAGCCCCAGCTATTTGGAGACTGAGGCAAGAGGATCACTTGAGCCCAAGAGTTTGAGGTTGCTGTGAGCTACGACACCACACACTCTACCAAGGGTGATGAAGTAAAACTCTGTCTCAAAAAAAGAAAAGAAAAGAAAAGAAAAAGAATGAAAGAAAGAATACACAGCAACAAGAAGAAATAAACTATCACCAAATGTAATAACATGGAAGAATTGCAAAGACATGAGGTTCAATGAAAGAAACTAGACATAATAAGTCAGTCCATTTGGGCGGCACCTGCAGCTCAAAGGAGTAGAATGCTGGCCCCATATGCCAGAGGTGGCGGGTTCAAACCCAGCCACAGCCAAAAAAAAAAAAAAAAAACTGCAAAAATAAAAAGTCAGTCCATTTATATATAGTGCAAAATGAGGCAAAACTACTGTGTTATACTTAAGGCCGGTGATAATGTGACAGGTAGTGCTGGTAAGGGACACAGAGGGCTTGTGGAAGATGAGAATGTTCTGTTTCTTGATTTGTGTTTTTTGTTTGTTTGTGGTTTTTTATTTTGAGACAGTCTCACTGTTACCCGGGTTGAGTACTGTGGTATCATTGCTCATAGCAACCTCAAACTCTTGGGCTCGAGTGATTCTCCTGTCTCAGCCTCCCAAGTAGCTGGGACTACAGGTGCCTGCCACAATGCCTGACTGGATTTTCTTTTTCTTTCTTTTCTTTTTCTTTTTTGAGACGGAGTCTCACTTCATCACCCTTGGTAGAGTGATGTGGTGTCATAGCTCACAGCAACTCAAACTCCTGGGCTCAAAGCAATTCTCTTGCCTCAGCCTTCCTGGTAGCTGGGACTATAGGCACCCACCACAACGCCCAGCTATTCTTTTTTTAGGGGTCTCGCTCTTACTCAGTCTTAACTCCTGAGCTTGAGGGATCCTCCCACCTTAGCCTCCCAGACCCTCCCACCACACCCAGCCCTTATTTCTTGATTTATACAAATGTCACATGGCTTTGCTCAGTTGGTGACAATTCATCAACCTAAGTACTTAGTGATTGGTGCTCTTTTTTTGTATTTCAATTCAGAAAAATGTCAGGCAAGATACATTTAGGTAAAAGAAAACACACACATATTCACAAGAAAAATCTGTTTCTATGAGCTCCCATTTAGGTGATGAACTTAAATGCCAAAACAGCAGTTTGAATGAAACTCGACATGTAATATTGGTCACCCCTACCTAAAAGGGGACAGTGGATTGGGAGGGCTTACCTCCACCTGTAATGTTTTTATAATAAGATAACACTGGGCTGTATGAGGATTAAATGAGTTAATATTTTCAAAACCCTTAGAGTTGTGTGTGGTACACAGTGGGTGCTATGTAAAGGTTTCTTACAATAAGGAAATAAAGTGGAATTATTTTCCAGGACACAAAATGGTACTTAAAAGTAAACTAGGGACAGCTTGGCACCTGTGGCTCAAGTGGCTAGGCGCCAGCCACATACACCTAAGGTGGCAGGTTCAAATCCAGCCCGGGCCCGCCAAACTGCAACCAAAAAATAGCTGGACATTGTGGCGGGCACCTGTGGTCTCAGCTACTTGGGAGGCTGAGGCAGGAGACTCCCTTGAGCCCAGGAACTGGAGGTTGCTGTGAGCTGTGATGTTACAGCACTCTACCCAGGGGGACAGCTTGAATCTCTGTCTCAAAAAAAAAAAAGTAAACTAGGGACAAATGAAACATAAAAGGAACTATGCAAAATATACACCTTGTGAGTTTTACAAACTATTATGCATTGTATACATGAATATGTCCTTGTAGAAATACAGACTTTTCAATGTGCAAGTTTTTACATAAATATTAGTCATACTTTTTTTTAAAAACCGGCTCTTACTGAAATGTGACGGTGACAGGTCTTGAAACAGAAAGATGAGGGAGATAGAGCCGGCTGGGCGACTGGGGGTGGGGGCCCTCAGCACCGGAAACCTCAGCCTGCAGGGATCCCCAAGCGGGGGAGGGGGCCTCTGGTCTCTCCCCAGCCTCTTCCTTCCCCCTGGCCTGGGGGTGGGTGGGGAGGGGCAGTTCCTCTTTCCTTCCCTAGCACGGAGGAGGCCGCAGCTCCCTGGGGGCTGAGAAGCTGGAGCCTTGGAGAAGGGGGAGGAGCTGAGCCACTTTCTGCAAGATCCCTACCTTTGTCCCCCCAGGAAGCATGAACAGGAAAGACAGCAAGAGGTGAGAGGACCCTCCCCAAGCAGCCCAGGATCACCCTAAACCCCTGGGCCCCCCACTGTCAAGAAGGCCTGGGGAAGAGGGGGGTGGGTAGGGTGTCCAGCTTCTGTAGCTTCTGTAGGATGGAGCACTGAGGGTGCCAGGTGACAGGATGCTTCTGGGAGCCCAGAGCCAGCTGGGGCTGCACTGCTTGCCCAGGAGCATCTGTTCATTGTACCTGGTCCTTTTTCTCTCTCGGAATTTGAGCTCCTGCTCACTACCCCTGCCCCCTTTCCTAACTCTCTTGCCTGAATGTCCCTGTCCTCCCTGGGGTCTTCCTGGTTCCCCATCGTTGTTGCTGTCCTCTGGACTGGAAACTCTGAGCTCCTGCAGGGCCTTTCCCCAGGAGAGGGGAGTGTGACGCAGGGCAAGGTGGCTCCCCTGCCTCTTAAACCACCCTGGCTGCTCCAGACACTACAAGGGCTGCTGGGCTGCAGAGAAGGCCTTAGTGGTCTGCTGTGCCAGCAGGCTCTGGGATGAGTTTCTGTCTCCAAGGCAAGCTTGCCCTCGGTTCCTGCAGGGGTGGATGGAGACTGGCTCCCCAGCCTGGGTAGCTTCTCCAACCTCCCCAGCATGACTCCAATGGGCAAAGTGATCCCTTCCCCATAATGTTCAGGAGTTTAGTGGTGGAGTCCCAGTTGCCTCATTTCCTGGCTGTGTGACCTTAGGTAAGTCATTCAACTGCTCTGTGAGACAGAGTTTCATTATGTTGCCCTCGGTAGAGTGATGTGGCATCACAGCTCACAGCAACCTCAAGCTTTTGGGCTTAAGCAATTCTCTTTGCCTCAGCCTCCCAAGAAGCTGGGACTACAGGCGCCTGGCTATTTTGTTGTTGCAGTTGTCATTGTTGTTTAGCTGGCCTGGGCCAGTTTCGAACCCACCAGCCTTGGTGTATATGGCTGGTGTTGTAACCACTGTGCTACGGCGGGGTGAGCCTCTGTGTGTGTTTCTAACTCTGTCAAGAGAATAATCAGAGACCTTACCTCACAGGGACTTGTAAGTACTCAGGGAGACAGTCTAGACTGGTGGTTCTCAAACTTGAGGTTGCTCCAGGACTGCCTGGGAAATTAGTAAAACATAAGTGGCTGGATTTACCCCTGAAGTTCTTAATTTTGTAGATCTGGGTGGGGTCTGAGAATATAGATCTATTTTTCTTTTTTTCACCACTATACTAACAAGGAGAGAGTTTGTGTTTAGATTTAAACACAGGTGATACTGTTGGTAATGGCTCAGGACCATGTTTGGGGAACCACTAATCCAGATCAAGTGCTTGCCCTTTGATCTGGTACCTAGTCAGTACTCAGCAAATGCTGGGCTGTATTCAGCAGCACTCAATACCAGTTTATTAAGTGCTTAGGGTGTACCAGGGTCCACCCCCTTGCTGTAGCCTGGCTTCTCGTCTATCTGATCACTTTCTCCCTCTGGACCTCAAGTTCAACTTCCCTTCTCTGATGGCCTAACAGCCTAAGCAAACTAAACCCATTACTTAGTTCTTTTGAGGAACTAGGCATGGACTGTTTATAATAAATTCCTGGGGAAGGTCCAAAGATGACCCTCTTTTTTCCAGTGAAGAAACTAAGGCCCAGAGAAAGTAAGTGGCTAAAACAAAGTTACACAGCCAGCAAAAATGTCTGGAATCCAATTTTATCTGGAGCCTGGATTCTGTTTCCTTCTACCTCTCACTCTCCCTCTCTTTCCATCACCCTCTTTCCCCAACTAGAACATGAGCCTCAGGGAGGCCCAAGTGAGAGTGAGGGTTATTTTTAAACTTTCCTTGAAACTGCCTTAGCCCCAGGGATCCCTACCTCTGAGGACCCCTGGGGGAGCCACTTTCCAGGCTCCTAATGTAGTGACCCAGGCTGAAGGCTAAGACCCCAAGTCCTGCCCAAGGGCTAGCTTGAGTCCTCAGTAGGGGGGAAGAGGGAGAGAAGGGGGAGAGGGAATCCCAGGGGTCTGTCTGAGCCTGCTCTCACAGGGCTGGTGGGAGGCGGTGGGGAGTCAGCCCCAAGGTCCCCTTGTGCTTCCCCCTGGGGAGCAGAGAAGTGATCCCAGTGGTCTTCACCCATAATTTCTGTGAATTCAGGAGTAATCTAGGGGTTCTACCAACAGGAAGTGTCTTCTATGATGCCTTAGGACCAATTGGTCAAGAGGAATTTGGGGGCAATGTCTGGAGAAAGAAGGTCTTACAATTCCCCAGGGGGTTCTTAGTGTGGGATAGGGTCTTCTCCTGCGATTTCCTGATGGATTCATAGAGGTCCTCCAATTTCCTGAAGGGGGCAACAGTAAGCCTAGGAGTTTACTTGCAGGAGAGGGGTCTCATGATTCCTTGGGAGATTTGGAATATTCCTGGGGGCACCTCCCTTAAGTCCATGGTAGGTCAGGAGTAACTCTGGGGCTTTGCCTTTAGGAAGCTTCTCCCTGGGTCCCTTGGAGCATTGGGATGAAAAAGCATTCTGAGGGTCTGCCCAAAGGAAGGGGCTCCTATGATTCCTGGGGGTGGGGTGCCCACAGGAAGTCCCACCAAGAATGCACCGGGAAGACAGTAGGGCGGGGCCGGCCCCGACAAGCCCGCCGCCACAAGACATGCCCCAGCCCCCGGGAAATCAGCAAGGTCATGGCCTCCATGAATCTGGGCTTGCTGAGTGAGGGTGGCTGCAGTGAAGAGGAGCTGCTGGAGAAATGCATCCAGTCCTTCGGTGAGTGTCCCACGCCCCCTCCCAGCAGCCTCCTAAACCTAACATCAGGCCAAGCACCCATTTCTCACATACTCAGTCTTTGGAGGAATGAAATAGGAGCAAGAATATGTGGATGAATCTCAATCGCCACCTCAGAGATTCTTCTTTCTGGGATGGGGAGGGGGTGGAAGTCTGAGGCTATTTATTAATAGATTTTCAACAAGGCTTGCCAGGCATTGTGTTGGCCCATGCCCAGGACAGATAAGGAAACTGAGGCACTAGGAGTTTAAGTGGCTTGCCCAAGGTCATGGAGGGGATCACAGTTATAGCTGATGCTTGAACCAGGCAGACCAACCAGCTCTGGAGGCTGTATTGTCTTTTGCCCAGGGGCCATCCTGACACAGGGTCCCTCTCCTCCCACCCCCAGACTCAGCTGGCAACCTGCGGCATGGCGACCACATTGTTAACATGGCACTGGCCATGCACAGCTGGGTATTGCCTTCTGCCGACTTTGCTGCCCGTCTGCTGACCTCATATCCTCCCACGACCATGACCTGTGGGCAGAGGGTGGAGGATGGGGATGTGACAGCCTGGGAGATGGGACAAGGTGAGCAGGCAGATCTGGGATGCCAGATAACAGAGCCTTGACCAGAATTCAAGTACCAGAAGGCTTCAGGGGATGCACAGGAGCTGAGAAGGCTGCAGATCTGTCACCTGGTCAGGTAGCGTGAAGCCCAGATTTCCCAGAAAGTATCTCTCAGAGACTACCCAGCCCAATTCCCACAGACCCGTCCAGTCCCACTTCCAAAACTCTCACTTCTGAAACACCTCTGGCTTTGTTCCTAAGATCCTCCCAGTTCTGTTCCATAAACCCCCACTTCATAAAGGCCCCCAACCAGATCCCATGGGCCTTCTCCCTGTTGGTTTCCAAAAATGTCCAGCTCTGATCCCTAAAACCCCCACCTCCCACATACTCCAACCTAGACCTAACACCTCCTCACTCTGTCCCTCTCAAAATTTTATCCCCTGGGGGTCCCTAGTCTAGTTCCTAAGAATCCCCCCATATCCTGCTTCCCATCAGTGCCACTTCCAAGGCATACCCCCAACCTGTGTTATAACATGCTCCCTCCTAGCCCAGAGATCTCCCCCATCTGGTGCTCCACCCCTGATCAAATCCTCACCATCTTAGATGTCCTGCAGACAGACGGAGACTCCAAGCTCAGCACCTAAAGATTCTTCAGCCCAAGGGACCCCTTGTAGAGATCCCCACCCCCAGCTTCATCTCACCATCTCTAAACCACCCTCAGGTACTGGCTGACCCAACACCCAGAGGTGGTACACCAGGAGCCCCAGCTAGAAGAAGTCATAGGTCGTTTCTGGGCCACTGTAGCCCAGGAGGGCAACTTGGCCCAGAGGAGCCTGGGAGATTCCTCCAACCAGTGAGTCAGCACCATGCCTCCTTCCCTGCCCCACCCACATTCTCCATCTCCCTTCACACCCTCAACCCTCAGCTCGAGCCACTCCAATGCTCTGCCCCTCTTGGCCCCCAGTCTGAGCCCTGGTGGCCCTGGGCCCCCGCCCCCCATGAGCAGCCCAAGCCTGGGTAAAAAGCGCAAAGTATCCTTGCTTTTCGACCACCTGGAGGCGAGGGAGCTGGCTCAACATCTTACTTACCTGGAGTTCCGGTCCTTCCAGGCTATCACGGTGAGGACCCCTCCTCCCTTCCCATCCCAAGCAGAGGACAGATATGATGTGGGCTGGGGCCTGGCCAGGGCCAGGCAGGGCTGAGAAGATTCCTGTGTGGGCATCCAAGCAGAGATCCCAACCTCAAACTGTCAAACCTAGGTGCTAGAGGGTCTAAGAAAATGAATTAAGCTGGCTGAGTATTGAGCCCCTGGTTTCAAATCCCATCAGCTCCTTCCTACCTGTGTCACTTTGAACTAGTTTCTCAACCTCTTTGGGACTCATTTGTAAAATGGAGGTCATAATATTTCATTGGATGGTTGGGGAATTAATACATCTGGGTTAATATGCTTATTGCAGCACCTGGCACTTAGTAAGTGCTCAAAATATCTTATCACTTATTCATTTATTCCAGAAGCATTTAAATTCACTGTGCCTTAGTTTCCCTACTGTGAAAAGGATATATTAACAGTTTGTGCCTCATAGAAACAGTGCTTGGTCTAGAGTAAATGTTATCTGCTCAAACCATTTGGAATTTCTATATTTTACCTGCCCAAATGTCAATTGTCTGTGCTTTAATATACATATATATGTGTTAGCTTTTGCTGTCTTGAAATTGTGGTTTCAAGAGAAGGTGGTGAAGTTTCCTTAATGTGGAAACTTCCCGATGCTGTATATATGTAAATATACAAATACAGAAGGTACCAAAAGTGTATACACATTTTAAGAAAGGAAAAAATCATAATTAAAATTGTAACATTTAAGGCCCAGTGTGGTGGCTCACACATGTAATCCTAGCACTCAGGGAGGCCAAGGCAGGTGGATTGCTTGAGCTCACAAGTTCAAGACCAGCCTGAGCAAGAGTGAGACCCTTGTCTCTAAAGAATAGCTGAGCATTGGAGGAGGGGGACCTGGAGTCCCAGCTACTCAGGAGGCTGAGGCAAGAGAATTGCTTGAGCCCAAAAGATGGAAGTTTCTTTTCTTTTTTTTTTTTTTT